CTAAAGACAATCTTTTCGTTTATTTAGAGAAAATGTACAAGCAAGAAAAATTCCAAACACACCTTTTACCCTTGACAGTGTCCACTCTCCCTAAGTGATGAGACTTATAAAGACTATCACACTACACCCCAAGGAGTTCACAAAAAGCACTTCAATTAGAGTTAATCACAAAAGGGTGTAGATGCAAAGTTTATTTTATAGTGAGCACCGTTTAGATTTGAGATGCATTAAATCTATGGTAATTTAAAAGTGAGAATTTGAGTTATAATTGGGAAGAATTAGTCTTATGGAAAGGAAAATGACAATTATGTCAGGTACTGTTTCCTTCAAAATTCAATTGTCATAGAGCAATAATATCCACTTTCTGTCCCGGTTTCTACTTTACATTTGGAGAAAGATGGTCATCTGAATTGAAAAGTTCTCACTTGGTTCTTCGTCTCTTTATTTTTTGTTCTTCAACTGTCACTCCATATAGGTAATGCTTTGAAGTCTCTGTCTTGCAGATGATGGAGCTTTATATTTTGAGGAGAAAGTTGTTGATGCAAATGAACATCAGGGGCCTCTTGCAACTACATCGTCAGTTGTTCGAGGGTTGACAGCATTTACTGCTGCTACTACAGGAAGTTTAAATGTGAGTGGACAAATAAAATTGCAAATTTTGTTCCTTAATTTAATATATAACAATTTTGTTTTTATCTGTAGCTTCCTGGGGATACAATTTTTGGTCTGGCAAAATTCTTCCTTGGCATTGGGATTCCCGGCGATGCTAAAGACTTGTTTAACCAAGTAGACTCCTTGGCTTGCTTGGAGACGAATAGGCAAGTATTTTATTGATAGTGATGGTTAGCTTTGGTTTATCTTTAGATTTTACATTATGATAATAAACTTTTGTTAGAAAGTTAATACTCGGGTTCTATAATTTTTGCATTACTTGTGTCACTTATGGTGTGGTTGGGAAAAACGTCAGACAACTTTATCAACAAAAATTTCATGTTTACTGTAGAGAAAAAGTAGAGAGAAGAAAGAAATAGGGGGTTGAGAGTAATTCTTATGATCTTGGGATATACTTTGTCTCTAAGACTCCCCTTGGATTGTGCTATTGAAGTAGTTCCATAGTTACTCTCTCTTTTTCTATTTTTAATTGTTTTTTACAAGAAATAGAGAGAAAATATATAGATCAAGAGGGAGGAAAAAACAGCCTAGGGGCCGGGTAGAGGAAACTTGCCCCATCAAGCTTCAAAAGAACCTTTCGTTAATAATGGTGAGAAGGTTGTAGTTACAATAATTTTGTTTCTGTGGTTGGGACACCCTCAAGACCAGGT